CCAGGGGGGATGGCCACGCTGCAATCCCTTCTCCTCCATTCTCCTCTCGGGATCTTGGGCACGCACGCATACGCACCCAGTGTGAGTTTTAAGCCACCGGGTCTGGGACGTGAACCGCGGTCGACTACGTGGGAGTCCAATGACATAGCCATTACACTAACTGCTGGTTCCCCACTGTGCTTTTTCTTTAATCTAAGAATTCATATCTTACATTGGTTTAGGAAAATTCCCAGCCATTATCTCTTTAAATATCACCTCTATTCCAGTTTCTCCTTTCTTTGTTCTTTCCTTCTAGGACTCTTACTTTCTACTCTTTCTTTTTTTCTTTTCGTTTCCTCCCTCCCTCCCTCCTTCCCTCCCTCCCTCCCTGTCTTCTTTCTTTCTTTCTTTCTTTCTTTCTTTCTTTCTTTCTTTCTTTCTTTCTTTCTTTCTTTCTTTCATCTTCCTTTCATCTTTCTTTCTTTTCTTTCATCTTTCTTTCAGCCTCCCAAGTAGCTGGGACTACAGGTACATGCAGCGGTGCTTGACTTTTAAAGTGAGCTGAGAATTGAACCTGGGCCTCCCATGTGGCCTCGGCTTACCAGGTAGTAGTACTCAGTGTGTGCTACCATGGTTGGGCCTGGAATTCTTTTTATATGTATTAGGTCAATGGGAAAGTCATGACTTTTTTTTTGGCTATAGGGTGCGTGCACTTACCAGAGACAGAAAGTGAGAAATCACCCCCCAGGGGGGGATGGCCATGCCTCAATCCCTTCTCCTCCATTCTCCTCTCGGGATCTTGGGCATGCACAGTCATGCACCCGGCGTGAGTTTAAGCCGCCAGGTTTGGGATTCGAACTACAGTCGACTACATGGGAGTCCAACAACACAGCCATTATGCCAACTGTTCTTCCCTACTTTTCTTTCTATGCAAAAATGCATCATGACTTTCTGGATGATTCAATATGTTGGACCTATTGGCTCTACGAAAGTTAACCTTCCGTTTTTCCTTTTTTTTTTTCTAAAGAATTATTTTATTCTGAGGGTTGGCAGGTGACATGGTGGCTAGGGGTTCTGGACTCCCACATGGCTGTGGTTCAAGTCCTGGGACCTGGTAGCTTGCTTTTCTGCTCTCTCTCTCTCTCTCTCTCTTGCTCTCCCATTCTGTCCCTTTCTGGTCAAATTAAAATAAATAAATAAATGAATAAATAAAAAAATAAATTTAAACAAAAGTAATTCTTTTTACATTTTAATTAATTAATTAATTAATTTTGTGGAGAGTTTTTTGCTATAGGGCATATGCACTTGCCAGAAAGACAGAGAGAGACAGACAGAAAGCGAGAAATCACCCCCTGGGGGGATGGCCACACTGCAATCCCTTCTCCATTCTCCTCTCAGAATCTTGGGCATGCACACACACACATGTGCCCAGCATGAATTTAAGCCACCATGTCCGGGACTCAAACCGCAGTTGACTACATGGAAGTCCAGCAATGTAGCCATTACACCATCTGCTGGTCCCAATAGTTCTTTTTTTTAATAAAAGAACTTAAAAAATGATTTTTAAAATTTTAACTTTATTTATTTATTTATTTTAATTTGACCAGAGAAGGACAGAGCAAGAGTGAGAGCAAAAAAGAGAAAGTGAGAAAGTAAGCCACCAGTTTCAGAACTTGAACCGTGGTTGGCCATGTAGGAGTCCAGTGCTCTTAACTACCAAGCCACCTGCTGGCCTGGCCCCTTCTTTCTTTTTTTAAAAAAATATCTTTTAAAAATGATTTATTTAATTTTCTTTATTGTTATTATCATTTAATTGACCAAAGAGGCATAGAGAAAGAGAGAGAGGAGGGGGGAAAGTGAGAAAACAAGCTGCCAGGTCCAGCTTGAACTGTGGTCAGCCATGAGGGAGTCCAGGGCCCCAAACACCATGCCATCTGCTGGTCTCCCCATCCTCCTTTTTTAAAAAAAAAAATACTTTTTTTTCATTCTGTATCCAAGGGCTACAGTTTCCTTTGTGTCAAACAAAAGATACAACTTGTAGGTAAAGTGTTTACCCTGAGTTGTAAACTGCACCCTGGAGTAAAACTATAGA